CTCGCACTGGCCCGATGGTGGAAAAGTGGCTATTGTGGGTCGAGCAATTGGATACTCTGTATCCCAGAGGTTTAAATGAGGCATAAGAAATGGAGCTGGCTTAAATATTTTCCTCTCCTTGGTCTTTTCTCAGATTTGGGCCTTTTTCTTTCTGTGTGTGTGTGTTCTAAATTCTTTGATTTTAAGGGGCGGTCACACGGCACTTTTCGTTCCATTGACTTCCGTTTATGCGAATGCGTCGGACCGGAAATGCAAGCTCGTGTGAAAAATTTTGCATTTCGCTGCGTTCCAAAGTTCAAGTTTGGTGAACTCTACCCTGCTAATTCGCATCACGTGAAGATGTGTGATCAGTAGAAGATCGTTACATCACTGCGTGACCTCTCTACAGAAATTCAAAAATGGAGGAAGCGCTAATTTTAGCCGAAGCTGCATGGTTCGCAGTGTCAATGGAAACCGGAACAGATGGTGCATTAGAATGTGGACCCGTTTTATCATTTTTTTATTGCTTTGTGTGTGTGTGTGTGTGTGTGTGTGTGTATGAGAGAGAGTACAATTACTATACACAAGTGTATTATTATTAAATCACTTAATGTTGTTCGTTATTTTATATTTATATTTTCACTCATTTTAAAATTAATTTTGCACACCACAGAAAAACCTACAGCACTTAAAAATGTTATATATATGTACAGTCAAACCAAAATGTATTCAGACACCTTGAACATTTCAATCTTAATTATGTAAGATAACACTTAAGCAAAACATGGTCCGGTCAAGATGTCGAAATAATTTTTGGTCCCTAATGTTTATTAATTTTCCTGGTAGTCCACTGTATGAATCATTTTTGGGTATAATGTCACAGTTTACTTTATTTTGCTATCCTCACTTACACATATGAACTATAGTGTCCTGCACCCACTAGTAAATATATATAAAAAAATGTCTGAATAATTTATGGTTTGACTGTATATGTGTGTGTGTGTGTCAACTTCACAAACAGACTTCAAAAGCAAACTCTGCTGCATGAACTTGGCAATATTCTTTTATTTTTCTGTTGAGACTTGCAAGAAAAAATGGCGTGGGCTCAGAGACACCAGCAACATGAGAGAGAGAAGGATAGAAAAAGACAGTAAGAGAAGTGGAAGTGAAGGAGGACACAGAAGAAGATCAGACCTGCCAACCTCCCTGTTGAAAAAAACAGCAAATGCTGGTTAGGTATGTTTTGACGCTGGGATGCTGGTTTAAGCTGGTCCTTTGCTGGTTTATGCTGGTCCTTTGCTGGTTTATGCTGGTCCTTTGCTGGTTTATGCTGGTCCTTTGCTGGTTTATGCTGGTCCTTTGCTGGTTTAAGCTGGTCCTTTGCTGGTTTATGCTGGTCCTTTGCTGGTTTAAGCTGGTCCTTTGCTGGTTTATGCTGGTCCTTTGCTGGTTTAAGCTGGTCCTTTGCTGGTTTATGCTGGTCCTTTGCTGGTTTAAGCTGGTCCTTTGCTGGTTTATGCTGGTCCTTTGCTGGTTTAAGCTGGTCCTTTGCTGGTTTATGCTGGTCCTTTGCTGGTTTAAGCTGGTCCTTTGCTGGTTTATGCTGGTCCTTTGCTGGTTTAAGCTGGTCCTTTGCTGGTTTATGCTGGTCCTTTGCTGGTTTAAGCTGGTCCTTTGCTGGTTTATGCTGGTCCTTTGCTGGTTTAAGCTGGTCCTTTGCTGGTTTATGCTGGTCCTTTGCTGGTTTAAGCTGGTCCTTTGCTGGTTTATGCTGGTCCTTTGCTGGTTTAAGCTGGTCCTTTGCTGGTTTATGCTGGTCCTTTGCTGGTTTAAGCTGGTCCTTTGCTGGTTTATGCTGGTCCTTTGCTGGTTTAAGCTGGTCCTTTGCTGGTTTATGCTGGTCCTTTGCTGGTTTAAGCTGGTCCTTTGCTGGTTTATGCTGGGACATGTGATAATCCATGTTTTTCTACAGTGTACAACAATGTACTGGAGTTTTTTTTTTTTTATAGCATTTAAAATCGCTAAAAAGAACTCTGTTGTGCCAAACCATCAGAACCAAACTGAAAACTGTTTAAAAAACAGGTATTTATTGAAACTTGGGCTAACTGTATTGTTGCATTCCTACTGTTTACTCTAAAATACTGTATAACAGGAATATCACAAACTGAGTGCAGACTCGGAGTACTAACCTATGAAAAATATTTAACATGAAGTGTAGCATTTTGCACATTGTGCAATTACGATTTTGACATTAGCCATCAAGGAGCTTCAAGTAATGTAGGAATAGGCTATAACCCCCCCCCCACACACACACCTTTGACTACCGTGTACTTTCGTTTAATACTTTTTTACATTTAAGATCTCAGGTGTGTGCCCAAGACACGGTAGAAAAA